CTTTTTTTATTCAAAACAAAAAAAAAATTTCTTTGTAAATCTCAAGACCAAATAGAAGTTATAACAAGTAAGAAAGTGAAGACGATTAAGACCGAATATATGGGATCCCTATGGTAAAGTGAATTCCTATTTAGAAGCTATAGACCGATCGTGACGCAATTATATGCTAAACTAGTTATCAACTTTATAAGAGGTTTATTCGAGGAAACTACAGGCTAGTCATCTTAAAAGACCTCAATATGCTGATTATAGGGTATAGCAAAAGAAGGAAAGCTTCACTAGAATCAAGTATAAAATTCAAAATCAAATTCGTTATTCGAAATACTTACGTCTGATTGTTTAAAATGGAATCATAATAAAAGTGCTCGACGTCGTTACCCCGGCATTATTTATGAAACACTTGAACAGAGACAGACTTTACTTTTCAAACAAAATTTCATATGAATTTATTTGTTATATTTTTTTTTTCATTCAGTAGAAACAAATATACTTGACAATTGCACGAGCACTACTCGGGGAAGTTGGATTTATTTTATGTTTTGTTTTGTTTTGAGGGGTTTTACTTTGTAAAGAAAATATTAGATTTAATACATAAGTAATAATAATAAAAAAATTAAATAAATAAATAAAATTTAAATATCACCGTTCTTTTACCCTTAAGGTATTTTTTAGATTTTAACTAAAGAAATTTTTTTAGAAGTATTGTGTTAACCTTAATTGAAGCACTGTTTCCTAGAGAAATTTTAATGACATTCTCATTTCCTATTGAGACCCTTTGATTCATAATCTAGTCGATAGACTTGATCATAATATAGTCGATAGTCGAGTCTACAATCTAGTCTATAATCTAGTCAACAATCTAGTCAATAGTTTTCTCTATAATCTAGTCTATAGTCTAATCTATAGTTTGTTCCACAATCAAGTCTATAGTCCAGACCATAATGTTGTCCATTCTATAGTCTAGTGTCTAAAGTCATGTCTAATGTCTATAGTCTAGTATATAATCTAGTCTATAGTCTAGTCTATAGTCTAGTCTATAGTCTAGTCTATAGTCTAGTCTATAGTCTAGTCTATAGTCTAGTCTATAGTCTAGTCTATAGTCTAGTCTATAGTCTAGTCTATAGTCTAGTCTATAGTCTAGTCTATAGTCTAGTCTATAGTCTAGTCTTAGTCTAGTCTATAGTCTAGTCTATAGTCTAGTCTATAGTCTAGTCTATAGTCTAGTCTATAGTCTAGTCTATAGTCTAGTCTATAGTCTAGTCTATAGTCTAGTCTATAGTCTAGTCTATAGTCTAGTCTATAGTCTAGTCTATAGTCTAGTCTATAGTCTAGTCTATAGTCTAGTCTATAGTCTAGTCTATAGTCTAGTCTATAGTCTAGTCTATAGTCTAGTCTATAGTCTAGTCTATAGTCTAGTCTATAGTCTAGTCTATAGTCTAGTCTATAGTCTAGTCTATAGTCTAGTCTATAGTCTAGTCTATAGTCTAGTCTATAGTCTAGTCTATAGTCTAGTCTATAGTCTAGTCTATAGTCTAGTCTATAGTCTAGTCTATAGTCTAGTCTATAGTCTAGTCTATAGTCTAGTCTATAGTCTAGTCTATAGTCTAGTCTATAGTCTAGTCTATAGTCTAGTCTATAGTCTAGTCTATAGTCTGGTCTATAGTCTAGTCTATAGTCTAGTCTTAGTCTAGTCTATAGTCTAGTCTATAGTCTAGTCTATAGTCTGTCTATAGTCTAGTCTATAGTCTAGTCTATAGTCTAGTCTATAGTCTAGTCTATAGTCTAGTCTATAGTCTAGTCTATAGTCTAGTCTATAGTCTAGTCTATAGTCTAGTCTATAGTCTAGTCTATAGTCTAGTCTATAGTCTAGTCTAGTCTAGTCTATAGTCTAGTCTATAGTCTAGTCTATAGTCTAGTCTATAGTCTAGTCTATAGTCTAGTCTATAGTCTAGTCTATAGTCTAGTCTATAGTCTAGTCTATAGTCTAGTCTATAGTCTAGTCTATAGTCTAGTCTATAGTCTAGTCTATAGTCTAGTCTATATCTAGTCTATAGTCTAGTCTATAGTCTAGTCTATAGTCTAGTCTATAGTCTAGTCTATAGTCTAGTCTATAGTCTAGTCTATAGTCTAGTCTATAGTCTAGTCTATAGTCTAGTCTATAGTCTAGTCTATAGTCTAGTCTATAGTCTAGTCTATAGTCTAGTCTATAGTCTAGTCTATAGTCTAGTCTATAGTCTAGTCTATAGTCTAGTCTATAGTCTAGTCTATAGTCTAGTCTATAGTCTAGTCTATAGTCTAGTCTATAGTCTAGTCTATAGTCTAGTCTATAGTCTAGTCTATAGTCTAGTCTATAGTCTAGTCTATAGTCTAGTCTATAGTCTAGTCTATAGTCTAGTCTATAGTCTAGTCTATAGTCTAGTCTATAGTCTAGTCTATAGTCTAGTCTATAGTCTAGTCTATAGTCTAGTCTATAGTCTAGTCTATAGTCTAGTCTATAGTCTAGTCTATAGTCTAGTCTATAGTCTAGTGTCTAGTCTATAGTCTAGTCCTATAGTCTAGTCTATTAGTCTAGTCTAGTTAGTCCTAGTCTAGTCTAGTCTAGTCTAAATCTAGTATATAGTCTAGTCTATTGTCTAGTCTATAGTCTAGTCTATAGTCTAGACTATAGTCTAGTCTATAGTCTAGACTATAGTCTACGTCTATAGTCTAGACTATAGTCTAGTCTATAGTTCTAGACTATAGTCTAGTCTATAGTCTAGATATAGTTCTAGTCTATTAATCTAGTCTATAGTCTAGTCTATAGTTTAGTTTTAGGTCTAGTCTATAGTTATAATCTATAGTCTTGTCTATAGTCTATATTCTAGCTATTGTCTGGCCTATAAAATTTGGATGAATGCTACTAAAAATTATACTGTAAACATTTTATTATTATTATTTTTGTTTTGTATGAAATATTGCCACGTTTTTATTTAATATGTCTGCCAAATCCTTATTAAACCCTCCATTCTAATTTGACCTTCCAAAAAAGTAAATCGAAAAAATATTTTAATCACCCAATTGGGAACAGAACAATTCCAATTAGCAATTTTATGCTACAGTTAACATTACATACTACCACAAGCTAACATGTTTGGTTTCATCTATGTAATTTGAAATTTGTACACTGAATGCGGGAAAATGTAAATAAAAAGACACACATACTGTTAACTCAAGTAAGTAACAGCTGTTAAGAGGGCACAAATGTTTAATGTGGAAGTAATAGAGGTAAAGAAAAATAGTTAGATGAAGAAAGAAAACATGAAAATTGAAATGGAAATATGTAATACTAAAGAATGGTGGTGAGTATAAAAGATATTAAAAAGTTAAAATTTAAGAAGGAAGTATAAAGAGAATATTTAAAATGTTTTCATTTATTTTGAATGGTGAAGAAGAAAGGAATGACGGGGCGAGGAGGGGGAGCGCAAAGCGAAACCCCAAAAACAACAAGGGGAGGGGGCAGGCAGGAAAAAGGGACAGGGGCAAAGGGGAGGAAGGACGAAGCAACGAACGAACGAACGAACTGAACAACGAACGAACGAACGAACGAACGAACGAACGAACGAACGAACGAACGAACGACCGACGAACGAACGAACGAACGAACGAACGAACGAACGAACGAACGAACGAACGAACGAACGAACGAAACGAACGAACGAACGAAATCGAACTAACGAACGAAATGAACGAAACGAACGAACGAACGAACGAACGAACGAACGAACGAACGAACGAACGAACGAACGAACGAACGAACGAACGAACGAACGAACGAACGAACGAACGAACGAACGAACGAACGGAACGAACGAACGAAACGAACGAACGAACGAACGAACGAAGAACGACGAACGAACGAACGAACGAACGAAACAAAACGAACGAAAGAACGAACGAAACGAAACGAACGAACGAACGAACGAACGAACGAACGAATCGAAACGAACGAACGAACGAACGAACGAACGAACGAACGAACGAAAAGAACGAACGAACGAACGAACGAACGAACGAAACGAACGAACGAACGAACGAACGAACGAACGAACGAACGAACGAACAAAGAACGAACGAACGAACGAACGAACGAACGAAGAACGAACGAACGAACGAACGAACGAACGAACGAAACGAACGAACGAACGAACGAACGAAACGAACGAACGAACGAACGAACGAAAACGAACGAACGAACGAACGAACGAAACGAACGAACGAACGAAACGAACGAACGAACGAACGAAACGACGAACGAACGAACGAAAGAACGAACGAACGAACAACGAACGAAACGAACGAACGAACGAACGAAACGAACGAACGAACGAAACGAACGAACGAACGAACGAAACGAACGAAAACGAACGAACGACGAACGAACGAACGAACGAACGAAGAACGACGAACGAAACGAAACGAAGAACGAACGAACGAACGAACGAACGAACGAACGAACGAACTAACTAACTAACTAACTAACTAACGAAAATAACTAACTAACTAACTAACTAACTAACTACAACTAACTAACTACTAACTAACTAACTAACGAACTAACTAACTAACTAACTAACTAACTAACTAACTAACTAACTAACTAACTAACGCATAAAACGTCAACAATTATCAATAGTACTGAATTATTCAACCCTGCTACTCTTGTTTTAAAAACATATGTTTTTACGTACATAGATAATTATTGTTGTACATTTTTCTTTAGTTTCTTCTTTAAACTGCTTCTTGCTTGTTCCATATACCACTTTGTTCCATGTCAACCGTGGGGCTTTATTTTGGGGTTTTATTAAAAGAGCTACTGTTAAGCGGAGAGTTAGTGAAAGAGAGAGAAATTTAGTAATTGTTTAAAGTAGAGAAAGAGAATATAATGAATGAATATTAAACAATTTCATTAAACAAACATTTGTCAAACAAAACTCATACAACTTGTTCGTATTTTAATGGCAGTTGCAATTTGAAACACCCAACGAAGCAGGTGATGGAATACGCGCAATAAACGTGTGGATTTTTATTTTAATTTCAAACGCCTAAAACGTCTCTTAAACGTGCAATAACGTAGTTTTTTCCTATTAGTGGCGTTTTCGTTTTTCTTTTTTGATTTTTTATATGAATTTTTGTTTCACAACAACAGTTTACACTTTGAAAATTACAAAGGAAATTAAAGAAAAAAGCTAAACCAAAAGGATTGCCAAGAAAAGAGCATAGAAAAATTTGTGTTAATAAGAAAAAGATTTTGCGAAAAGCAACATAAAGTGAGTGAGTAATTGTTTAATAACATGAAAATTATGTGTTTTTCTTAAAAAAGTGCTTTTTTTTCTGGTGATGATTAAGAATCAAATAAAATAAAGTGGAAAAAACAACAAAAATTAAACATCTAGTGTTAATTTTTATATGTCAAAATCTTATTTCTTCACCATTTAAGAGGTTTGCTGCTGTCAAACACCAACAAACAAACATTTGTAAAGTTTATGTGATAAAAAAAGAGAGATAATTTTCATATTTACAACAAGAGAGCTGCTAAAAAGAGAGCCGTAGTGCGGACAATAAAATGAGGCCGTTATACTAAACAAAAAACAACAACAAACTAACAGCGAATTGCATTTGCAAAAGAAAAATAACAAAATCAGCTGTAAAAAATTTAATTGTGAACAAAGTTTGTTGGAAAATTGTTAAGAAATTTATAAATCTATGGCAGAAATAACAAATTATTATAAAATTAATATAAACAATTGATAAAGTGTTAAACAATTCTTTAAAATAAAAGAAATCTTGTTAAACTTGTTTTGCTTTTTCATTCTTTCTTTTTTGTTCATTGCTTTAACTAAAGAATTCTTTAAATGTTTGTTTAAATTAAAAAACAGCTAAAAAAATTTGTGTAAATTCCTTAAAATAATTAAAATAAAAGAAATAATTTCTTTAATAAAGAGTTTCTCTTGTTTAATTATTGCTTTAAAACAAGTTTCTTTTAAGTTTTCTTTTTCAACATTTCTGCGCAAAAATAACAAAAAAAGAAGTCAAAATATAAAGCAAAATATAAAAATTATCATAAATATAACAAAAAATAAAAAAAACTAATAAAAACAACAAAACCTCTCTGACCCCTTGGAGAAAAAAAAACACAACTACAATAAGCAGCAAAACCTCGGGAAAGGAAAACTATCAGCAGCACCACCAAAAACAACAATTTTAATACCATTCCAAGCTGTACTCCATCAACAACAAATCTTATTATAAACAACTAAAATTTTGTTTGTTATTAGTTTTGCCTTAACTCACCTCGTGTTTATATTATTTTTTTTGCTGTTTTTTTTTTTTTTTTTGATAATTTTTGGTTGTGTTTTCTGTTGTTGTTTTTTTGTGAATACTCTTCATCTACTCTACTCAAAACTCAAGTGTGATGTAAGTATTATTATTTATTATTATATTTTATAATATGTATATTTATTGTTGTTGTTGTTGTTTTTATTTTCTATTCTTCTTTGCATGTTTTACATAAAATTTGTTTATTTGTTATTTTTTCTATCAATAAAGTGTTGTTGTTGTTTTCGAATAGGTATTTATATTAATACAGGAATGGACAGTTTGGTGCTATTGTACTTTTTTTATAATAAATACATATTTACTAAGTAGTTCGTTCAAAGATTACAATGGAATAGTTAATAGACTTATCCATAGACCAGTCAATATTTTAGTCCATAGTCTTGTCCACAAATTAGACCATAGATTAGTCAATAAACTGGACCGTAGACTAGACCCTAGACTAGTCAATAGACTACTCCATAGACTAGACTTTATACTAATCAATAGACTGCGTCCATAGACTAGTCAATAGACTTATCCATAGACTTGTCTATTGACTAGTGTAGTGACTAATCTACTGACTAGTCTATCGTTAGAGTCTATTGATTAGTCTACAGACTAATCTATGGACAAGTGTATTAGCTTATCAATAGACTAGACCATAGATTAGTAATTAGACTACACCATAGACTTGTCAATAGACTACTCTATAGACTAGTTAATAGACTAGTCTACAGACTAATCAACGGACTGGTTCATAGACCTGTCTATAGACTAGTCAATATATTAGTCAATGGATTAGTTTGTAGACTATTCATAGACTAGTCAATTGATAAGTCAGTAGAGTAGTCCATAGACTAGTCAATAGACTTATCCATAGACTAGCCAATTGACTAGTGTAGTGACTATTCTATGGAGTAGTATATTGTTTAGTCTACAGACTAGTCTATGGACTAGTGTATTAGCTTATCAATAGACTAGACCATAGATTAGTAGATAGACTACACCATAGACTTGTCAATAGACTACTCTATAAACTAATCAACGGACTGGTTCATAGACCAGTCTATAGACTAGTCAATGGATTAGTCAATGGACTATATTACTATATATAGTTTATAGACTATAGCTCAATAGACAAATCAATAGACTAGTCCATGAACTAGTCAATTGATAAGTCAAGAGACTAGTTCATAGACTAATCTATAGACTAGTCCAAATTAAAAAAAAAAATACTATACCTATATATAGTACTATACTATACTATAGTCTATTGAATAGCCTATTGTATAACTTAAAAAAAAAATGGTCAATAGACTAGTGCATAGAAATAGACTAGTTAATAGGCAACTCTATTGACTAGTCAATAGACTAGTCCATTGGCTAATCTATAGACTAATCTATAAACTAGTTAATATACTAGTCCATAGACTAGTAAATAGAGTTGTCCATAGAAAAGTCCAAATTAAAAAAGAAGTATTCCATTGACTATTCTTTGGACTACTGACTAGTCTACTAACTAGTCTATTTACTAGTGTACTGACCAGTCTTTGATATAGTTTATAGACTAGTCTATGGACTAGTGTATTGACTAGTCTACTGATTAGTTTATTGACAAGTGTATGGACTAGTCTATGTACTAGTATGTTGAATAGTCTATGTCTATTGACCATTTTCTTAAGTTTTACATCCAATAAAAAAAGTCCCCATTTAATAAAAACAAATACCATTTCAAAATTTCAATTTTCCATGTCTGTCTCAAAATATTATAGTAGCATTAGTTGCTACTTCTATTGCAGCTGCTGCTACTAGTAGTGGCTGCTGTGCCGGCGGCAGCTCTGAGTAAATTTCATTTGAAATTTTTATCAGTTTGAACATTTTATGTGTCGAGTTTTATTTTTATCGTTTTTAAAAGCGTTTTAAGAAAAAACTAATATTATGTTTTGGTGATAAAAAAAAAATGAAAAGTGCTCTTAATATTAAGTGATGCCAATGAAATTTTGTGCATTTTATAAATTTAAAAATTAATGTGAAAGTATTTAGAGTTATGTTCTGAAATTAAATTCGAATCTGAAATTTGGTAGCAGGTTTTCAAACGTTCTTTACTGCGATTAGACCAAATTGGGAAGATCCAATAGATGCTTAACTTTTGAAATTGAATTGATGAAAGTTAAAATATTCTCAGTGTAAAGATGTAGATTCAAGGAATATTATTTCTATTTTATACGTCTTCTATTAGCAGTACTGAGAAAATCAGTACTGTGATCAAAGATCTCCAATATTTTGGATCATCATTACTCATCAACACTGGAGATCTAACGAATAGATCGGATAGAACCATCATATGTAGTTGATGATTAACAAGCATATTGTCTTCTGCTCATAGTTTCCTCAGTTCGGATAGAAGTTAATCTTATAACATGATCTTCTCTTTATTTGCTGTGACTAATACTGCTCCATTGTATGTATAACTCTGTTAAAGAACTTTTGTTTTTTCTAAAACATTTCATTTTGACAGTGACAGTTTATAAGTAAATATAATAAGTTCTGCGATAAGACTTATCATTGAACTAATTATTGTACAACATGTTTAACGTATGTATAGACCAAAAGCTTTAGCCATAACAAACCGATAAACTAAAGCGCAAAAAAGTTTATATCATGCAGCTGATATGAGGATTCGAACAGGTGGGACTGATAAAAACGACTATATTAATATTGAGTGGGTTAGTTAGTTAATTAGTTTGAAAGGAAGATGAGTGTTACATCAAACCTTAACATCCATCGAGTCTGTTATACGCTCCTTTACCAGGAGACTCTGGTCGGAATTGAACCCACGAGCTCAGGTCAGACAGACTAGAAAACTAACTACTGACATACCGTCGTACGATTTCGACTTATCAAACGCAGTTAGTCATAACCACTGTGTCGACCAAGTTTCTAGAATATTGCTCGATCTTAATGCATGTACATAACTCTTGCCTCTGTGCGAGTTTAAAACTGGAGGCAGAATTGTTCGGAAACTGTGACACATTGATTCAAGGAAGAGAATCATGGTTACGGAAGTTCGGCAAAGAGTCAATGCATCGGAAAATCTGGATGGCTCTAATACGTCTTTCGTCACGAATGTATTCTTTGTAAACGAAAGTGAAGACAGAAGCGAGAGTTGAGATAGTCAGCACATAACAGTCTCCATTTGTTATTTGTCATGCATTAACTATTTTGGACTAGCTTTCAGTCTCTCTCTCTCTCTCTCTCTCTCTCTTTGAAATCTATGGAACAACGATTGCCTTCTTCCTGGGACAAGCACATGTTTAAATATCTTACCACCTGGGTGTCAAGTGTGTTTGAAATAGAATAGGATTTCTTTGTAGACGAGAGTGAAGACAGACGTCAGTTAAGTGTCATCACTTTAGAGTCCCCAAGCAATGTAAGGAGTGGACAAAAAAACAAACTTAAGCCAAAAGGTTTTTTGTCTGCATTAACTACTTTGGACTAGCTTTCGGTCCCAACACTAGCTTCCAGGCGAAAGTCTGAATGTGTAAAGATGGCTCAGACAGATGTAGTCATATTTGCCCAGCAGCTAAAGGGCAAAAAATTTGTTATCGAACAAAAAGGAACTAGGACACTTGTGGATTATTGATAAAGCTAATAAGGAGCAGGTAACTTGAATAGGTCAACCTGACGAAGACAAACCGTTTGCAATATTATAACGGTAGTTAGGACCGCAAAAACCTTATAAGATAACCTAAACGTAAAGATAGCTTGTATAAGTTATCCGTTCAAGGCAACGAGAGCGGTTTATAAAAGCAAGGTCAAGATAATCTCACTCAAACACATGAAATAATGGAATGGTGGATAAGACCACAAATCCTTATCGGGTAACTCAAATGAAAGGAGAATGAGCCTAACTTCACCAAAATGGAATGTGAACAATACGGAGCATGTAGTGAATAAAGTGAAACACTGGAACACTCTCACTACTCTTGCCCAGAGTTGGTCGAACTTGGAACTTAACATCCTTATGATTGACAATTTTTATGAATTACTTTCAAAAGTCGTGAGTTAAGGGTTGTCCATAATGAACATTGTTTGGAAATTTTAAGGAATTACTTGCAGAATATTGTGCTTCTAAAACTTCAAACGATAAGTCCACTTTAAGGGAGATTTACACATATACTTAATGAAATTATTTGGATACATTAAGAAATTACTTGCAGAATACTGTGCTTCTAAATCTTTGGACGACAACTCCACTTTAAGGGGGATTCACTTAACATCACCTAATACAAATTATTTGGACATTTTGAGCGCACAATTGTATCGGTAGCATTCCAGTTATATCCTCTTCAATCTAACTTGATATCAGAGCCGCCACGCCTACTCCTGATAGTTCGCCCCCTTTTTTTTTTCTCAAATTTTCATAATGATAGTAAAGCTACTCGTACTTTTAACTTTTAAACTTTAAAATTGTTTATTTTCAATAATGTGTCAGCAAGTTGACCACACTGGCTTTGTTTTATTACAAAGTTTTTCGTACTGCTTTAATTTTTAATGTTTATTGTTTGTAATTTTTTATTGTTTAAAATTGTAGGTGTCACATACCGTTAGCGTTTGTTGTTTTTTTTTTTATTTTTTGCCACTTTACCTGTACATTATTTTGTTCAACTAAACAATAACTTTTTGTTGTAGTTGTAATTTTTCTAATTCACTAGAAAAAAAAAATTAACAATTCTTGTCAGTTTTTAGCATTAAACATGCATTGATATTAAATATTAAGTATATGAAGAAAATAATAAAATATATTGTTTAAAAAAACATGCCAAAAATATAGAGCATAGTAACTAGAATAGGAATAGAAATAGTTGCTAAATAGAATAATAATATACAACTGATGCGAATCTTAAAAAAAACGGTTATTTTTCGAGGTGAAAACATAAACATTTTTTAAAAGTTTTGTATTAAAAAGCTGGATAATTGTTTAAAAACTGAAACCAAGTGATCTTATTCTACTCTCTTAACCTGTCCCTTAAAGTGATCTTACATAAAGTTCAAATACTACATCGAGCTTATCTTGATCTCTGCCTCGAAGTGATCTC